TGCTTGGAATATGAAACTCGAAAAATCGTTAAAATTCATAAAACTTTTGCTACATTAGAGCAGGTTTACACACTTTTAGAAAATCGGTATTGAACTGGGATTTGATGCGATAAGTAATAACAACAAAATTTAGATTAAAGCTATTACCAATTTGTGAATTTAATATTAAAAACTGTCTAAAAATGTACAGAAATCCCTAATTTCTGTGTTTTTTCCTTACAAACGGGACATCAAAATTTTACTATTTCTCGAATAAATCAAAATAAATTTATATCTTTTACATCAGATACAATGAATAAAAAATATATTCAAACCAGAATTCTAATTATGAATTAACGCAAGTACAATATGCAATGTTTTACTGTAATTGATAAGTAAAAACTAAAAACTGTAAAAGATTACAAAAAAAAGGCTACACAATTAATAAGATCTGTTTGATCATTTGCTAGATTATAATTAATAAGAATAAAAATAGATAAAAGTGTATACAACGCGATTGGGCACAAATTATAAGACAAAATATTTTAAATTTGCATTGTTTATTGAAGATCACATTAAAACCATTGTACTGTATAACATATTGCATCATAATATAGCTAAATTATTCAGTATAATACCCAATTGACATAAATGAAGGTCTTATTTGATGGCACAATGATTTAGTAATAATGTATTTGTGACATGCGTCTTGTCCATATACAATTTGTGAAGCTTCAGCAAATTATAAATTTTATAAGGCTGTGTTACAGGGCCTCCACTGATCATCGGGATGAAATTACAATAAGATTTTTAAAAACTAAACATAAACTTTAAACTCATTTCCTTAAAAGACGGTAACGAGTTGAAAAAAATATTTTCTATCATTTATCATGTCAAATACCTCCTTTCAAATTGAGTGCAATAGCACGGTTCCAAAATCCACCTTCCTTATTATGACATCGTAACCATATGAAGTCTACGATAATTTACACAAATTATGTAAAATACCTTACACATTGACAATGCAAATATGTTCTCCGTTCTGCAAAATAGTGTAACAATGAACGGTAAATATATATTTTTAGCGATCAAGAATTCAGACAGACAAACCATCAATTTATATGACCCACGCCGAGGCATTTGATGCGTGTACTAAGACCACAAAATTTTAATACATTATTCTAATATATTCTAATGAATAACTTAATGGAAATCGAGGCTCGTTTTTATTGGCATTTGCTACGTTATTTTGCAATGTCGTTTGCCAATAAGTGGTTAATGCTTTTTATTTTAGCGATCGGAATTAAGGCAGACAAACCATGATTTTATATGAACCATACACCAAGGCACTCTAAATATGTACGAATTCCACAAATAATTAATATATTATTCTAATATATTCCAATGAATTTTTTAATGGAAATAGCGACTCGTTTTATTGAGATTTCCCACGTTGTTGTGCAATGAAGTGTACCAATAAATGGTAAATACTTTTCTTTTAGCAATCGGATTTAAGACACAAACTATTAGTTTATAGGACCCTCACATCGAAGTGGGTACTATGTATTAATTCCACATAAATTTATTACATTAGTCTAATATATTTCAATAAATACTGAAAACAGAGACTAGTAATTTTCTTTCAGTAATCGAGATTTCAGACAGTTTTGGCTGTCTGAGATCCTTATTGTGACTCGACAGATAACTAAATTTATACTGTAGACGGTTTGTTCTCAGACTTGACAGATAACTTAATTACTAAACACACACACACACACACACACACACACACACATATATATATATATATATATATATATATATATATATATATATATATAATTTAAATAAAAACAAAACCACTTTTAAGGTTCCATGTAATAATTATTTCACCACAGCCTTTTTTAAAAGGATCATGGATCATAAGACTTTACTTCCAAACAAAAAATGAAAAGAAAATTTACACATTTTTGACGGGCCGTATTAAAACATATGTAAATTAACGAAGTGAGGAAGTGAGGGGGAGCGAGAAGACATGAGTGAGTTAGCAGATATTGACACATTTAAACGATTAACTTAACGGAAGTTATATGTTGATATCGAAGGGGTAGAGAAGAAAAACCCATAGAGAGAAAAAAAAAAAAAAGAGAAGGAAGTTATGAGAGGTGTCACTAATTTTCTTTTTTGAAAAAAGGCTAGAAACAGACGCTGTTATATTGTTTTACTTTGAAAGTGTTATTTTTGGGGGTTCATAAAGATTATAATGTTTGATATAAATTTGAATGTCTCTAGACTGTCTACACACACACACAAATAATTTAATTTAATTTATATATATATATTTATATATACAGTGAATATACATACAGCAAAAACTTTTCCTCAAAATATGCGCAGTATCCAAAAGTTATATATGTATAAAATTCACTCTATCTATCTATATCTATCTATCTATCTATCTATCTATCTATCTCATATATATCTATCTATCTGTTGCATGACTACATACAATTTTCAGGCCTTATGTATATGGCCTGACGATTGAGTAGTATATATATATATATATATATATATATATATATATATATATATATATATATATATATATATATATTCAAGCAGGTTTGGTTAAATAATTTAGACGTATTATGTCTTTATTTTAGTTTTAATCCTTTCAAATCCCCGAAGTGATTTCTGTAGAAAATTTATCAAGAAGAATGTCAAAGTTTACATTCAAATAATTTTTTTATTTTCCCACGAACTCTCAATCTCATCTGAGACCATCTTCACTCGGTCAAAATATCTATGGATGTGTATACAGTGGCTCCGTAAATTCAAATTATTTGAATTTAAAACGCTGTAAACGAACAGTGAAAAAATATTTTGAATTTACAGAGCTACTGTATTCACATCCACAAGTATTTTAACCCCTTGCAGATGGTCTAAGATGATATTGAAAGTAGTTCAATTATTTGAAAGAAAATCTTTTTCATTTAGAAAGACAACAGGTTAAAATCATTTTGCATCAGTTTAATCGTCTTCCCAAATGAGCAATGGTGTGAAGAAAAGGATCATTCTGGCCATTCGTAATGGTACCAACATGCATACTCTAGCTTCCATCTTCAAAGTCCATCCAAGAAGCATCAAGTGAACGAAGATTTAAGTTTTAAAAAGTAGAAATGAAAACTAGATCACTTGTTCTCAAAAGAAAAGGAATTATCATTTCAAGTGATCAACAGGAAAAGATCGAACTCAATCAATTAGGCACCTGAGAGAGGAGTTTCACCTATGGCAATCCAAAGAGCAATAAAAAAAAAAGACTTGAAAAAGAAATCGTCCGTGAAAAGAGTGAGGCAACTTGTTACTCCAGGACAGAAAGAAGATTAGGCAGGGCAAAAATCATTTTGAATAAGTTGTAAAATGATCCTGGAATAATATATATATATATATATAGTAGTCGACTCTCCCGTCGAGTTCGACCTATGAGGGTCAAGCAGATCAGTTCCCAGGAAACCGACAGCCCGACAACAGCACATGAGATTTGATTATAGTGGTGAAGGTTTCGTACAGGACCATCCACACTTTTTGAAGGGACCTGCTGCACTAAGCGCCACAAGGTCCCCAAACGACCCTCCGAATTCAGAGTTGTCCTTCTCCTAGACCAGTTGCCATCCAAGGCTATAGAACCCAGTCTGTCCTGCTATTTACCCATAGCTGAAGGGAGAAGAAGGGGATTCACACCTTTCCCAAGGGTATTAGCACGAAAGTGAATGTAATGCATTCGACTGGAATTCCAACTCGGCTATATATATATATATATATATATATATATATATGAACTTCTGATCTTTAGCTATGATTAATTAGGAACATGTTATTTCCGTTTACGATCGATTTCATCATGATTCTTCAGTTAAGCTTGGAGAGTAATTATACATTCTTATTGCTCAAAGTAGAGTCCATTGGAGTTATAAGATCCTTGGAGAATTCCAGTAAGATATCATTAATCATTTCAAAGACACAACGGTTCAAATCTTAATCTAACAATTGGACAATTTTGCTGTTACACCCGGTAAATAGTCACTCAGTCACTAAATCTTCTTTCAAAATCTACCACGACTTTAACTGTAGAAGTCATAACATAATTTACCTCCTAGAATGCACACTATGCCAGAAACAATATGTAGGAAAATCTGAATGGCCCTTTCAATACAGAATTAATAATTATCGCAATTGACTTAAGTTGGCTCCCCATGAAAGGTTATTACCTGTAGAATAACATTTCCTCCTCCCAAAACACGATTTTAAAACCCATGCCAAATTCACTATAATTGAGAAAATAGAAAAGTTCAGAACAGATTACATTACACAGATTTTAGAAGGACATGAAAATAAGTGGATTCGACATCTGAAAACGCTTAATCCCGATGGGTTTAATCACAAATTTAACAACATAGATAGAATTAATATATGACCCCACAAATCATGACCTACACACATTTCCCACCCACACAAGACAGGCATACTTGCAAAGGTGTTGAGGCCTCACGCTTATTCTCACACCAATACTAATATACACACTTAAACACATCATACTCACTCACTGCTTAAGAACCAAATAAGACACACTTAGCAGAGACACAACCCCCTTTCCAGGAACCAATAAAACTGTCAAAATGACCAAGGGAATTCAGATCAGCATGGATCTATTCAGCTATTAACTTAAATAACAACTTAAAAGAGACTGTTGGACCAACACAAAGACTGACCAAAATTCATGTTAAAAATTAAAGAAAACAAAACTACAGATAAAGTACTTTTTCTCCATCAAGTCATGAGGCAGTTTCTGTAGTTCACTGCTACTAACAAACAGATTTTTTCCCCTGATGATGGCGATGGTGGCCGAAACTAATCTAGGAATCTAACTGAAATAATAAAAACGAAAAAATATTAATATACAACCCAGTGTGTCTGAATATTTTAATTTTTTAATATTTCTTATTCTTCAAAACACACACACACACACACACACACACACACACACACACACACATATATATATATATACTGGACTCTCCTGTCGTTTTTCGTCGTATGAGGGTCAAGCAAAACAGTTCCTATGAAGCGACAGCCTGCACATATGATTTGGTTATAGTGGTGAATGTTTTGTGCAGAACCAACCACGTATACAAAGACCTGATGTATTATGCGCAACAAGGTCCTCAAACAACCCACTGCAGGTTTTGAATTGTCCTTCTCCTAGACTGTCCAAGACTATATAACCGAGTCAGTCCTGCTATTTACCTGGGGGAGAAGAAGAGGATTCAGACCTTTTTCAAATGGATGTAATTGATCCGACTTGAATTCCAACTCGAACTCAGTCCGAACCGCTATCCCTTACACCACTGATATATATATATATATATATATATATATATATATATATATATATATATATATATAGAGAGAGAGAGAGAGAAATACACACACGCACATATATATATATATATATATCCATATATATATATATATATATATATATATATATATATATATATATAGAGAATGAAGAAATATCTGGAAAAACAAAACAAAAATCCTTAAAATGCGATCATGTTTTAATATGAATGAAATGTCGACGTCTGATCGCATTTAAGGATTTTTGTTTTGTTTTTCCAGATATTTTCTTCATTCTGTCGGATTTATATCCATTTATATTTGCTTATCATATATATATATATATATATATATCTGTTTATAATTCTGAGATATTATGTACATTATTTACATTATTCGGACTATTGTTCTCATCTTTGCCGCCATATTTATTACAACCTTTCGGGCGTTGTACGCTCCGGCCTTATCAGGTGGTTGGAATGTCGGACTGAACCATGACCACCGATATAGAAGGCCTGCTAGATAGTGACGTGACGTCACAAATGTAGTCCATCCAGTGAAATAGACAGTAATCATAAATGTAACGAAAAATTGTAAGAAAAAAAATGGTTTTAGTAGAAAACTTTTAAAAAATACATTTATAAAAGAAAGAAACAGAATTGGATTTTATACAGAAATTTATTTCATATTAATTTTAAAAACAAATAACCGATAAGAAAAAATGTTGCTGAATGTTTTGTAAAGAAATTAAACATCATGTTACATTTCATTAAATATTTTAAAGATTGAAATTCGTTCATTATTTTATGTTTCAAATCTGAAAACATTTTTTAAAATCATAATCAGTATTGTTTTAATTTGCATGTTTTATCTTAATTTTAGTAATTATTCTGTAAAGTTACAATATCGTAAGTATTTAATGATTATTATTCTTTATTTACAGAAACAACTCAATTATGAATGAGGAAACAAAACAATCAGACGAGCAAATTACAAGTAAATTATAAATAAGAAACAAATAAACTAAATACAAAGAAAGTAAATAAATTTGATAAAAAAAAAGAGATTTAAAATTCAAATAATACTTATAGAAAAGTAGGTTACAGACAGAAATTAAAATATGAACGAATTTCAGTCTTAAGACTGAAATTCGTTCATGATTTTAATTGTTTCACATTTGAAAATTTTTTATAAATCATAATCAACATTATAAATCATAATCAACATTGTTTTAATTTGCATGTTTTATTTCAGTTTTACTTGTAATCATTATTCTGTAAAGTTACAATTTTTGTAATCATTAAGAAGAGATTATGACTCAAATACAGTAACAACTGAATTATGAATTAGGGAACAAACGATAATTAAATGATGAATGAATAATTATGATGAATAAATAAAACAATTAAGCATAAATAAGAAACAAATAAATACAAACAAGCAAATAAATTAGATACAAACAATAAATAGATTTAAAAATCAAATAATACTTTCAGAAAAATAGGTTATTGATACAAAATTTAGCTGAATGTTTGAAGTTTTTTTTGCTTAACTTGTTATTTGTAATATTATTATTTTCCATTGAACAAAAAATTATTTAAAAGAGCATTTGTAGAGCTCCAGACAAACATTCTTTGTATTTTTCTATATTGTGACCCTCATCAGAAGTGTCAACATCAAAAAAAGAAGCTCATAATCTGCCAAAACATTCAATGTTATATGCATGGCTATTTTTCTTTGATTTACAGAATGAAGAAAAGAATGATTTTTATAAGTTTATCAATGACTACATAATTATAGAGAACAAAATTTATAGTTTTATCATTAGGATATAAGAGAGAACCTGTATTAATCCCCTGAAAATAGCTGCTTATTTCAGGTATTTCTTCCACATTATCTCTTACACTTCCAGATATTAAATGTTTGCAGCTATTGCATTTAATTTTCTTAAAACTGCATTACAGCAATAACCCGCTAAGTATAGCATTACAGGTAGAACTTTCTACAATTATTAATATCATCCTCTTTAACATCAATTCTATATTTATATATATAACTTTTTCTCCTCTGTCACTTCATCCCAGTTTGGTTCTTGCAAACTCTTTAAATCAATTTTAATGCATTGCTG